TATTATTACTGTAAGATGTCTACTATTTCCAAGTGAATAAATGTTAAACAGTTGCTGTAATAATCTGCTCTTGACATTTAATAGTACACTACTGCACCCGGCCATCCCCACTTTACTACCACTGCTTTGTTTGCTTTCACAAAAGAAAGCCAAGGGCAGTTAATGTGTGAAACAGATGGACAGCTAGGAGGCAGGAAGGAGTTAGAAAAATAAAAAGACAGCTGAGTAACCTGATGCACTGCTCATTCTGGTCTTTGTGCTTGAAATACAGGAGGCAGAGAATGACTCATTCTCTCATCATACCTCGGCTAAAAAAAACCTTGATTTTCTTCCTTAAAATGCGTGGACTAACTCAGGCTGACCACAAACCAAGGGTCAGAATGATAACACAGGAAATTGGTGAACGATGTCTCAGATGAGATGAGTTATCTACCTGGATATTGCACAACACACGCACTCAGACTCACAAACACAAACCTGTGGGTCCATAGGCAAACACTGTGGCATTGTAGCCTGATATCAGGCCTTCTATTAGCTCTTTGGTTGTAGCTCGGTACACCTCATCCTGCAAAGAAAACAGTGCATAAGTCTGGAGGGACGTTTGTTTCAGATCCATTCACCTTTTGATTTATTAAAACTTTTTTTTCTGACTGACCTGACTGGCTGAGAAGTCGAACGCCACATCAAACATGTACGTCTTCTCCCTGGAGCGGTTGGCACGCAGGATGTCATCTGGGTCCTCCATGGGGTCCATCAGAACCACCATCTAATGGTGAAGGATAAAGATACATTGAGAGTGATAAGGTGGTTAGTGTCGAAGCCCATGTTGACGTCTGAAAGGTCAATTATTTTGTCTAAGTTTGATCTGAGTTTATTAAGGTGAGGTTTGAAAGTGTTGCCAAACTAAACAAATGAAAATAAAAAGGCAAAATGTAATTTGACAAAAGATTACTTCTGCTGGCTTTGAATGTATTGTAGATAATATTATTCTACCATTAATCAAAAGTTCACCAATCATGTATAAGAAATCTGCACAGATACAGCTGTGAAAAACAAACAAAAAACAAGTGATGAAAACACACATCTGTACCATCAGCTGTCAGGACGAGCACATTCAAAATGAAGATATTTACAGCAGATGTTCTGCAGATTCCTAGTGAACTACTCTGAACGCAGTGCAAGTCTCAACGATGTAAAAAAGACGAGGTCAAGCATCCAGTCATCATTAATAACCACCACTACAATAGTTTTTTGTCCCTTTAACTTGTTATCAAACTATCAAACACAGGCGTGATAAACTATTAAGCCAGGTTTAGGCTTTACATTACAAAACTATTAAAGTAGCAGAAGTTTGTTGTTTCAAGAACTCATTTCAAATATCAGATTCTGAGTTGAAGCCTTCCTCACACTACAGCCTTTACCCTCCCCTAATTTATAAACAAACAGTGGATACCTCTAAAAAAACAGCAATGTTCTGTCCCTTACAGGACATCTTATTTTTCTGGACATAATTGCAGGTACTGCTAAAGGAGCACATCGACATAGTGAGATTGTGCAATCGCATTTTAATAGCTACTGGCCCTTCAACTTCAGTGGTAACGAGCCTCATCTCATTTTTGTATATAAACATTTGTTGATATAGTTCCACGAAAATTTAAATATATATATATATATATATA